TTGAGCAGATCCTCCGCGCTTACATCCAACCTATGCAGGACAACTGGGCATCATACCTTCCGATCGCAGAAGCAGCATACAACAACGCCACCCACGCAAGCACCGGCATGACACCATTTTACGCCAATCACGGCTACCACCCGCGCACTCCCATCTCCCTCCACGGCCCCCAAGCCGCTCCACCTTCCTCACACCCGCAGGCCACCGAGCTACAGCAGCGTATGAAGGACATCCATGCCACCATCAACCGCGAAATCCAAGCCGCCAAAACCCGCTACACTGCCGCAGCTAACCAGCATCGTCGCTCCATCACCTTCAAAGTTGGCGATCGCGTCCGACTGTCCACAGAGCACCTCACCCTACCTACCTACCCCTCCCCAAAACTCCGCCCTCGCTACCTCGGCCTCCGTCATTTCTCCAGTTGCATACCGCCTCCACCTTCCAGCCTCCCTCGGCCGCTTGCATCCAGTATTCCACATCAGCCGCCTTCTTCCCTGGACCGACAACGATCCAGCGCTCTTTCCTGGCCGCCCACCACCTCCACCTGCAGCCCCTACCGCACTTGAATCCCCGTATGACAGTGCAGATACCGTGGTTACAGCTGTTCGCCTAGGGTACAACAAGCGAGCACGCCCGTCCGTCATGTTCCTCGTGCAGTGGTCCACAAGTAGTAAGCGCGACCCCTCATGGGAACCATACGACGACGTGCACAACCTGCCAGCGCTACGTGCCTTCCTGAGGAGCCCAAGCTGGACCGCGTTCAGGCTATCAGATCGCTATGCGTGGTTCAGATCCAAGTTCCCGGAGCATGCCCCGAGGATTGTACAGTTTCTAGCGGAATAGAGCTGCAGCTGGATATATGTGTGTGTGTGTGTGTGTCTTCAGGTGTGTTCAGTATGCCTGCTTAAGTCTTCGTCCTGTTCCTGCTGGTTGTGTTCTACTAGTCTGTCTGCCGTCAGATGGGTAATTGTGTGTTTGGTGTGTATGGTTAGTTGGATTTCGTATAGCCAGATTATATTTGTTGTCATAGCAGCTTATGTGTGTCTCCGGTTACCTAAGCCGGAAATGGTAGGAGTCGTGCGCCACTTTTAGGCCGGTATCCAGTGCGGGGAAGGTTTTGCCTTGACTCCGGTTCCCTTTTGCCTTCCCCTCGTTAGCCTGGTACCGATTTCGTTCAGGGAATCGGAGAGGCGCACGACTATGGCCGCTTAATGACGTTTTCGCACCGAGGACGGTGCTTGTTTTTAAGGAGGGGAGTGTGTAATGTTTTGCAGTTCGTTAACGCGCGTTTCTGAAACCATGTCGTATCTTCGGAGCTAGTGGAGCTTGAACTTGCGTGTACAACGTGTGAGGTTATGGCGCGCTAATATGACTATTTAAGCGGACCAAATTATGAACATTGTAAGTCTAAGTTGAGTTTGAAATCCGATCATCTGTGCCTACGCAAGTTTTTCGGCAAGTAAAGCCGGCTTACGCTTCCCAGTTGTTAGGTGTGGCCTGGTTCCCTTTCACCAATGCATGCACGGTTATTTAGGAGCGGCAAAACCAGCTCTATCCGTAGCTGGGGCGCCGCGAGCAAGTGTGAAGAGTCCGCATTGAAGGAGGCTTTGTTGCTTAGGCCGCTTGGCCCTCGGATCCATGTCCGTTCAATTACTATGGATGTATATATGGCCAGAAAAGTGGAATTCGACGAGTAATTACTGTGTTGAAGGCATTATACGATTTGGCTTCGGAGCACACATATATTCGTGACGACCATCGCCTGGAACAGCTTGTAATTTATATGTGGCATAATTTCTTGATGCCGTCACGAAATTAAAATCACGAACATTTCCTGTCACTACGGTATCTGTAACAGAAAATGGCATTTACCTATGGAGCAACAACTAATCTCAATCATGCGGTCCCCAGGAGTAACCCCCAGGTCCCAAAGCTTCAAACGGATATTCGCATACGCAGGACAATCTAGCAGCACATGACATTCATCCTCAACAGCTTGCCGGTTCCCACAGACCCGACACCACCGGGCAGACCGTTCCCTACCGTGCGGTCGATTAACCGCCAAAGGCCAAACACACATCCTGAAACGCATCAGCGTGACGTGTTGTTTTGGTGAGATATAGCCACTGCCATGGGAGACTAAACTTGCAGCTGCAACTTGGGTAGCTGGACGAGAAAGGTCCGAATCGTAACGGATTCCGATACCCTTCCGTTTCCAAGCGTGTTTTGAATTGGTTTTAGATATTATTAAACAGTATCATAGCGTTATTGAAGTTTCGTGTAAAGTAACGCGGCAGTGCATTTCCACTCAGGGTTGTCGTCTTAGCTTTACTTAAGCGATATGCATGGAATAAAAAACGCTTTGATTCTCAGCCTCTTCTGCCGAACACTAGGAATCATATTCGATCGATACACTGCTGGCACACGGAACCAAAGTTTTTAAAACATAACTGTATTTTTGAAATTAATTCATTAAAACAGGTAATATGCAATAGAGCCTTCAATGGCGGAGCTGGAAGCATAACTATGAATATGGGAAAACGTGACGGCCAGCTGGCAGCTTAACCTTCAACGGCACTGAGGCTTAAGACAGGCAAGCATAACTTAAGAAACGTAAGCTGTACACGAGTCGTCATGTTACAGCCGATGATTTTAACCTAGAGGCACAATGACAACTTCTTGACGAGACGGGACGAGCGCGCTGAATGCGCTCAATAAAACTGCGTCCCGATACAGTTGTGGCGATAGCATGTGCCTTGGCATGCACTTGATAATTTGTAATACGGAAGCCTGTCGACTTTTAAACTTGCGCGCCTGCCATTTTCCAGCATCAAGCTGAAATTTTTCAGCATCCAGCTGAACGGCGCTGCTCAACGATGTCTGGGAAGGTAAATCTAATTGGATGTGCCACTCACACACAAGTAAAACGGAAACCTAGACTACGTCTCACCGAGACTGTTCGGCCGTTGCTTCCAGGAGGAGCCGGCTTGCGTGCTGAACATCGTCCAGCCCACAAAATATGCATCCACGCAACGCGCAACGCTAACTTGGGAGAACCTGAACGTCGTGAGTGGCTTGAGATGGCTATGTCGCCCGTGCATGCGTAGTTCAAGCACGCAGAATCCCTTCGCATATCTGTCGCAGACCACGAAAGATGTCAAAGGAGGCACCCGCCATATTCTCAAGGATGTCAGCGGCTACGGTACGTACCTTCCGTAGGTGTCGGCGCAGTGGCGAAGGGGCCCCCGCTCTGTCGCACGAGCCGTCCATGTTCATTTTCAAAGGAGCTTGATTGATGCTATTCCTCGACAGAACATACTTTCACGAGAAGCAAACAGTCATGTTATCCCTAAGGGGGTGCTTCCAGTTGGATTAAGTCACGGATTAAGGCTTAATACGTTCCATATGGAAACTTAGCGCGACGGATTAGGCGGATTAAGGTTGGCGGGATTGGTTAAGAGTTCTATACCCATAATAGAAAATTTGGTGGAAAAAATTGCTACTTGGTGGCCACCAAGTAACAGCTTGACAATCTCGGATTAAGACGTTTTACAGCGCCAAATAAAACCTGATTTATATCTTGTAAGGTTATCTTTTAATAAAGGCTGTAGGTGTTCCTAGCTTTGTGGAAGCTTTGCGCTTCTTGTTCGGCATTATGCACCACACCGTGGTTATCGTTCGAATGTGCTGCATGTTGATAATCGATAGCCTTTTAAATGTGAAGCAGTACTCTTTTTTTGCGTTCTGTGCACGGAATGGAAATTGGTGTACTTCAATCCGTTCCGTAACCCAGACCTATGAAACATTCCCGTGGATTAGCGGCGGATTGGTGCGGATTAAAAATACCTTAATCCGTGACTTTAAACCCTAGTGGAAATACCCCCTAAGAAACGACAACGACCGTGGCATGCACGTGCGCTTACTTACGGTCTTTCCTTTTTTTTCCAATTTCCTATCCCACCAGTCAAGCCCAAGGACATGCTGGCCATTATGGGACCTTCTGGCTGTGGAAAGACCACCCTCCTTGATGGACTGGCAGGCCGCCTGCCGTCTTCGGTTAACCGTCGGGGGACTGTGAGTCAAAACCGCCCTGCCTGTTGATAACCCCCTCCCCCATCCTAGACTCATAATACAAGGCTGCAAGCAACACATACGCGTCACAGGTTCAGTAAATGCGAACTATGCTTTGGGGGTGTTTCCAAGGTCACGGATTAGGGCTAGTCTTAGTTCGTGGCACGTGGAAACATCCCTCGGATTAGCACGGATACAGATTCACCCGTAGAGGAGCTTTTTGCCAGTTACGATTAGATTACTGTACTGTAAAATGTGAACATTTTTCCTATGTGCTGCAAGGCGTGGCTTCATGTTGATACCCAATAGTCGTTACATGTCTAGCAATACTCGTTTTTGCATACCCATGATAGGATCACTAGCTTAGGAGTTATTTTGTGGGTAGTTTCTATACCCCTAAGCTAAATTAAAAAAATACAAAGTATATGAATATGAAAAAATGACTTCAACATACATAAATTGTTGAAGCCAGCCTCTTAACATGAATAAAGTGTTGAAGCCAGCCTCTATTGATTTAACGAAAATTTCCGTCAAAATAATAAGAAAGATGATGATGACAACGGAGCCCCGCTTGGGGCCTCTCTCATGCACGGAATGGCAATTGTTGTATTTGATCCGATCCTTAATCCAGACCCATGAAGCATACCGTGGTTTAGCGGTGGCGGATTGGTGCAGATTAAAATACCTTATTTTTAAACCTAGGGCTTGTTGTTGTTTTAGGAGCAACATCGCGGATCCTAAGTGGAAACTCCCCTTTGGAAAAAACCGCTCACATCTACCCAGCCAGCAAGCTTCATGCTCAGGCTGTCTGTCCTTGATGTTGCTGCAGAATAAACGGTCACGCACACGGCCCGACATGGTCATGAGGTCAGGCGCCCCATGGCTCACGTATGGCCCCTTAGCCAACTTTACCTGGCGCAGTTGCCCGCCAACGTAACCGCTTTGTAAAAACAACTGCTGGAATCCAAAAAGGGTGACTCACCGGCTGTCAAACCCAGGATATGCGTGCAGGACACCCCCTTGCCAGTGACCGATGCGTTGATCACTTTGTTGACTTGTTTGTAAGTTCAGGTAAACCCTTTTCAAAGCACCCCACCGCTTCAAACCATAGCCCCGTTCACCCCGTTCGCCAAACGGTTGCCGCCGGTTATGTTGTTGCAGGTACTGATTAACGGCCACAACAGCAGGCTGACATACGGGCTGTCCGCATACGTCACGCAGGATGAGGTACGAGGGAAACTGCGTACTTGTAGAACTTATTTACGGAAGGCCCTCTTGCCGCATCACCAAGGCATAAGAAGTATATGGAAAAGAATAAATCTGAGTGAGCTGGTGTGGAGCTGGGGGAACCTTCATTCCGTCAAGCCAACGGTGGCAATATTTTGTGAAATGGTGGTGTTGTCGACATGTATGGCTTCTCGCGTGACCAATTCACATTTTGCTACTGGGTACGCGCCTAGCTAGGGTCCGCTTCTAACCTTTACAACCGTTACGCACCTGCATTTGCGCATAGTAATACCACCGTCATCATCATCATCATCAGCAGCAGCAGCAGCAGCAGCAGCAGCAGCAACCAGCACATGCTGCTAAACGCAACATGGCATCATGCAACATCCGCCACAGCCGGCCCCACCACTTGTACACACACATGGATGCGTGTCCCTTTCAACTGGAATTAGCGCCCGCAGATGCGCTTTACATGCTTTACGATGCAATACAGGTTCTCGTCGGCACACTGACTGTACGGGAGACGCTGACGTACGCAGCCCTGCTGCGTTTGCCCTCGAACATGCTGTACACCGATAAGGTGCGTGTACGTATTCATCAAAGATAAGCGTATGTAACCACTCGGCCGGGCGAACCACCGACTGCAGCCCCTGTACAATTCCTTGCATAGACCCGTGCATAAATTAGATACAGCCGTATCTATCCCGGTGCTAGAAGAGCTGAGTTATTACCTTAGTAGCTGTCTTACAGTACGGCAGAAACCATCAATGCTAGCTTCTTTAGAAGCTAGAAGCCGGCGAGGGTGCAGGGGGAGAACCCAGGTGCGGACAAGCAGCTGCGTTTCGCGACCGTTACCGGCCAACGGCTCCGGCGCGTGCGCGAAACCGCCTAGGGGCCCCGCCCAGGGGCCCCGCCCAGAGAAGCACCCAGGACGACTGCCCAGGGGAAGTGCCAAGAGGAACTTCCCTGCATATCCGCCCCGCATGTCCCCCAATTCCCACCTCGTTCTCCCACCTCTATCCCCCCCCTCCCCCCACCACCACCTCCCGACACTACTCGGCCTAACGTTTTACTTCGCGGCCCCTTCCCGCCCCCCTGTGCTATCAGATCGGCCGTGTGGATGCAGTGATTCAGGAGTTGGGTCTGGAGGAGGCTCAACACACCAAGATCGGCACACCTTTCATAAAGGTTGTTCCTGGGTGTGTAGGGGAGGTGGGGACGGCTGTGGTGTGGGTTGGGATGCGGTGCGGTGCGATGCTGTGCGGTGAGTGGTTTTAGGACTAGCTCTCTATTTCCTCTGTTCGACTGCTACATGTGCACCGCTGCTCGTGTCCATACGTGCTGCTGAAGCTCCTAATCTATCGCTATTGCTACTGCTGCTGTTGCTGTTGCTACTGCCGTTGCTATTTCTACTGGCGCTGCTATTGCTACTGCTGCTACTGCTGCTGCTGCTGCGATATTGCACCTGTTCTTCCTTTGCCACTGATGCTTCATTGCCTTTCAGGGCATCAGCGGCGGCCAGAAGAGGCGTGTGGCCATCGGCAAGTGTCATTGCGGCCGGGAGTATCTTCATGCCCCCTGTGCATCGTTGTGCTCCAAACCACGTTTGCGTTCCGGATGGCGATGATGACCAGGCCGCAAATCACGTGTATGGACATGTCAGAGCCTTGCGTGATGTGTGTAATTCATCGATTGTGCTTATGGGTGTGCACGTGGGTGTGGGTGTTTTGCATGTGATTTATGGGTGTGTGTATGTATGTACCTTTCGGTGTAGGTACCTTCCGAACCCCGTCTCACCATCAACCCGCCTTTCCTCCTACACCCCCCCAGGGTGTGAGCTCATCACCCATCCGGGCCTGCTATTTTTGGACGAGCCAACTTCGGGTACGGGGTGCGGGGTTATCACGGCAGCGATGCGGGATGGCGGCATGGGCGCATGGCTCCCGGGTATCAGATGCGCCTGACCGGGGCCTCCCCGGGTATGCGTGCCGGTATATGCTGCTCTTTCTGTCTGTCTGTTTGTCTGTCTGTTTGTTGACTGCTTGTTTCTCTTTCTCTGTCGGCACCGTGTAATGTAGCCATCCGGTGGTTCTCGTTCCCCCCACCATCACGAACTGCCCAGTACCACATATGTAAGCCACCCCATCAAACAAACAAAATCCCTCGCCGGCGGAACGAACACCTCCACACCGGTCTAGAACTCCGCGATATACCGCACCGGAGCCCACCAGAGCGACACCGTACCCCTGCAGGCTTGGATGCGGCCTCTGCCTTCCACGTCATGGCCAAGGTCCGCTCCCTGGCCGAACACAACCGCACCGTCGTCTCGGTAATCCACCAGCCCTCTTCCGAGGTGGGCCGGAGGGTGCGGGGGTCGCATGGGCGTGTGTGTGTGGGCGGTTCCGTGGTGTGTGCGGGGGTTGGGGCTGGGAGTGGGGGGAACTATACGGAGATGAGGCGAGGTGTGGTGCGGCTCCGGTCTCCAGGAGCAAGTAGCACATGTACGTACACACAAAACGCTGCAACATGCATACCGAAATCAAGTTACATAAAGAGCCCTCGCGCAACTGTTGGTTTCGCACTGTGTTGGAGCGCACGCACCTGAGATCAAAATGTTGACAATATTGGTTTACATCAACACGAGATTGTGTACGACGATTTTGTTTTCCCCTGACCGCCTACACGACCGCAGGTGTTTGAGCTGTTCGACAAGTTGTGTTTGCTGTCCGGTGAGGGAGCGAGGGGGTTGTGTGGGGGAGGGTGGGTTGCGAGCCGTGGAGGGGTAGAGCGGAAGGCGGCCGATTGGTGTGCAGTACATCTTACTGCGAGAGCGTATTGCGCCGTGTAGGCTATGTATGTATGCGTTTATCGTTCAAGCTTTTAATCGTTAGGGGTTGATGGATCTGTTTATAGCGCCTTGCGATAAGCCGACCAGCAATGGAAGCTGTTGCCGCAGTTGATGCGGCCTGGGTGCCGGTAAGGGTTGGTGCCGAACCAGTGAGCGGCACCGGAAACGTTTAACCCCATTGGTGGCCACGGGTGAAGGTCTTCCGACCTATCCCACGCAATCACATGTATGTGTATCCATGTGTACGGCACGGGGTCCTTCAGACGCTCTGTACGGCACCCACACACCCAATGCTACTCCTATTTCGTTTTTGCACTCCTAATCCGCTTGTTTTACACCCACTCACCACGCACTCAACCCCCCACCTCCCACTATCATAAAAAACTTTCCTTACCCAGAAACACGCCTACCCTCACCTTTGCCACATCGAACCTTTCCTGGCCTAGTCACTTTTTTTGTCCTCGTCCCGTACACCGTCCCGTACACCGTCCCGTACACATAAACACACACACACACAAATGAAAACCCTAGCTGGCGAGGTGGTGTACTTTGGTGTCGCCTCCGGTGCCCTGTCCATGTTCGAGGCGGCTGGATTGCCGTGTCCCCCTCTTCGGAACCCCACCGACCATTTCCTCCACGTCATCAACCGGGATTTCAAGGTACGGCAACCAGGGTACGACAACTGCACACTCCAATAAGGCATATGCCTGCGATGCGCATTTGTACATGCCTTATATCTTCGTTATATGGACATGCTGTTGCTGTACATGTACCACATGTACTGCACGATTGTACATGAACTGGCAGTTAGTGCTGATGTACAGATGCCTTTGTTGACGCTGTTGTTTGCACATAGACCACTGCGGTTGCCGTACGGATTCTGCCTAACGCGCGTGTGTCGCCGTTGTCCTGGTACACGCTGTTGAACAGGGCGACGGTGGTCTGGATCCGGACGCCAACATTCAGAAGCTGACAGCTGTCTTCGCATCCCAGCTCAAACCCGGAGTAGAGGCCGTTTTAAAGGAGGTGGGAGAGTTTGGGGTTTGTGCAAGGGGGCTGTTTGGGTTTGTACATATGCTTGGTAAAATTCCGGCATGTAGTGGTTACACTATGACGGTCAAACAATGGAAATTGTTGCCGTACTGGCCATCCGGGAGAGTTCCGTCTCTGTGCGTGTGGGTTATATCATGCTTGGGTTTAGGAGGGACATTGTGTCTATCTCGTATGTCAAGGGAAAACCAGGGTGGCCAGCAGCGAAGACGCTTCTTGAGACTTCTTCCTAGTTATAATATTCCGGGACACCAAGCTGGCGCTGGAACTTGGAGCTAGCCTGGGGCTTTGCTTAACTACAGCTATATCAGTATATTTTCTTGCTGGATCCCTGTGTCAGCTGGTACACAGTACGGCTCTATACATACACGCATACATATAGGGTTTGGCACTATTGGTAAGGCGCGACCATTGCCCCCGGGAGATCCCGGGATCGATACCCATTAGGGTCAAAGTTCTTCCGATGGTGGAAGGCATTGCGCCCCTAGTTGATGGACGGTGGTGACCTGGGATAAAGTTAACCTGCGAGCCGACCAAGAATGGAGTTGGGCCGCTGTCGACCCGGCAGATTCCGTTGGATGCTGGTGGTGGGTGCGGAACCTGAGCGATCCACTGAGAAGTTGACTAGGGTGACTGGATGAGGGTGCCCCGAAATACCGGGGAAGGCAGGCTTTCGCAGGGTAGCTGCCACGGGCGAAGATACACCCCCCTGATTCACACATCAGCATCTCGAGAGGCCTTTTCAGCGGCCAGCTGCTACAATCCCTGCCCGCCACAGGTCCCTGAATCCCTTACCTCTCCTTAAGGCTCTTCTAAAGACGTAACCAATAACAACCATCCTAAACCCTTTCTTCAAACCCTCCGCAGTTGACCCAGGAGGGAGAGGAATATCGGTGTGTGAGCTGCGGCGCCAGCAGTGCCTACCAGGTGGCCATTCTCACCAAGAGGATGTTAGTCAACAACTGGAGGAATATCGCCGTGTTCTGGCTGAGGCTGGGAATGGTGGGTCTTGCTGGGGGAGATGTAAGAGTGGCGGTGTGTGGGGGGGAGGGTGGGGGGGGCGGGGTAAGAGTGGCGGCGGGGTACCTTGCGGCTGGCTTGTCAAGTCGCGGCGAAGGGGACATTAAAAGAAGTTGCGAGTTGCGGTATTGGTGTTGGTGGGGTGGTGGTTGGGGTATGGAAAGGAGTAGGAAGGAGGAATACGTATTGGAGGAGGAGAGCAAGGAGGGAAGACGTGGGAAGCGAAGGGATAGGGAAGTGAAGAAAGAGGGAATTGCCGGAGTCGGGTAATCGGGAGAAGAGGGCGTTGCGGGGGGAGGAAGGGGGCTTTAGCTTCCCCTTCTTCTCATCGCATGCCACCCCATGTACACTAACAGGCACACAAAAGCAAATATGCAACACACGCATCCATCCATCCATCCATCCATCCATCCCACACATCCTCCACCTCGCCGCCAACCCCAACCCCGCTGATTTCCCATCCATTTACCCAACGTATTCCCTAACCAACCAACCGCTTGCAGTACATCATGCTGTGCATCTGCATCGGCACTATCTACCTCAAGCTGGGTAACGACTGGGTGGGGACCTACAGCCGCGCGGCCATGATGTTCTTCGTGGTGGCGTTCCTCACCTTCATGAGCATTGCTGGGTTCCCCGCGTTCGTGGAGGACATGGCGGTGAGGGAGAGGCGCGGTTTTGGGACGTCTTTGAAACCCAGGCGTGGGGTTAGTGAAGGTTGGAATGTTTGTTAGAAAGTGGACAAATCGCCCTTTATTCCTAGAAAGAAGTTTAGGCTGATTAAGCCGGGCAAACTACTTTGGATGGTGGTGGTGGGTTGGGATGCTGCCCTGGTGGAAGGGAACAGGGTGAGGTGCGGAACTGACTTGAAGACTGACTTGAGGACTGAAAGATATTTACGCCTGAGACAACCCCCTACACCCCGGGGCACACAGACACATTATACATACACTCATACGCTGGGCGGGGAGTATCAGCAATCTGCAAATGACTGACCGAATGACTTGATGAGAGATCGGCAGACTGACAAATGATATACACTTAAGAGGATTAAGGGCTCGCACCCGACAAACAGTTATACGACAGCTGTGTCCACTAGCAGTAAACCGCTAACCGTCCACTAACCGTCCAAACGACCGCCCAGGTGTTTATCCGCGAGCGGCTCAACGGCTACTACCCAGTTGCGACATTTGCCCTGGCTAACACACTGGCCAGTGCGCCCTTCATTTTTGGTATTGCCATCATCTCCTCGGCCATCGTATACTGGCTCGTAGGTGAGTGACCCGTGGGTCAGTGATTACAGCCAGAAGGTCAGTCGCCAGAGTGGCCGACGGGTCCATGGAAATGTATTTAACACAAAGGCCGTTTACTGACCCATGGGTCGTGCGGTCGCCAAGGCCATCTACTGGGGCATCCTGGGTTCTTCCTTAACCCCTTACCCCCCTACCCCTCCCTCCCCTCCCGGGCGCCTCCATCCGGGGGCCTCCCTACACAACCCCAGATCTGAATGACAGCGGCGACCGCTTCGTGTACTTCTTCGTAAACCTGTACGTCAGTCTGACGGTGGTGGAGTCTCTCATGATGTCCATTGCGGCGGTGGTGCCGCACTACCTCATGGGAATTGCAGGTGGGGGTGGGGCTGGGTGTGTGTTTAAGGAGTGTGTGTGCACGTGAGGAGGTGGGTAGGTGGTAGGGTAGCAGTTCTTGCCCGACTGCCCAAGGACACCTTCGATTACGGAATAAGGAAGATTCTTAACGGTTTGCAGTTCAGTCTGGCATATTGCGTTTGCCGCCATTTGGAGATAGGGCACCAACACCAGCGGGCTTTACCTGCTCCTTCAAAGTCACCGCGTGCCAGGTGCTGTGCTGAGAAGTACGAAAGCATATGTGGTTCCCCGGGGGGTTGAGACTTGAGAGGTCAAGTGGGGTTGAGGCGTTTAAGGATGGGTTGTGAGTTGGACGTTCCGAGAGTCTTTGTGTGCGTGTGTGTGTTTGCATTCTGCAACCTCCCCCGAACCCACCCCGACACCTCATTCTTCACGTCCTCTGCCTAAACTACTTATGCACACATACGCCATGCACACATCTATTAAGACTACATGCAAACATGCCCGCAGGCGGTGCGGGAATCCTTGGCATGTTCATGTTGGTGTGCGGGTTCTTCCAGCCTGTGGGGGAGCTGCCCGCGCCCGTGTGGCGCTACCCGCTGCATTACATCAGCTACCACAGGTAAGGGACGCCGTTGCTTGCGGCTCGAGAGGATTTCAGTTGAGGTATGGAAATGGTTTGGGATGGGAGGCGTATGTGTGGACGGAGATGGGGCGATGGGGGTTGGCCTGGGCTGGGTGTGGCATATCTGCGTGTGTGTTTACTGTTCGTCGGGTGCCGCTGATGAATGCAGATGCGGGCATGGCTGACGGGTGGGGAGGTGGCGTGCGTTTTTGTGCTCCGAGAGCTCCTTTCCACTTTGTGTGCTGCATTGTTTTAGTCCAGCCAGACTTTCTCTTGCGGATCCCTTCATCTTTCACACCCTGCTTCTCTTTGTTCCCGACTGCTCCGGTTGTGGTCATTCGCCGCAGTTACGCGTTTGCGGGCTTCATGCACAATGAGTTCGGCAACACGGAGGGCTGGCTCTGCCCCTGCTACAACCAGGAAAATGGCTGTGGCCCCAACTACAACAGTACCAACATCTGCACAATGTCGGGAGCCGAGGTGTGTACGTGTGCAAGTACTCCGGCATGGCTGCACGCGCAGTAGTTAGAATGTGCCAACTTGATGAAAGGGACAGTTATCAACATTTCGAATGCGCGCTCAGTGCGGGTTAAAAAAGTGCAGGGGACAAATGCCAGTCGACGACGCGACGATAAGAGCAGAATGAGATATCGGATGACAGCACTGGTTTTGTGTAGCAAAGTGGATACATTTATTTGCCCTGCACTCACCCAAGGTAGGAATGTACAATGCGACGGCGATTGGAACTTGTGAACTGCATCGGAGGCTGGATGGCTAAGCCAAGCAAGGCGGGCAACAAGTGCCTTGACCAGTTCAGAAGTACGGCAGGGCCCTATGCCCGAGAGAATATGTAGTGCGAAGACGACTGGACGAGAGTTTATCCTGCGCTGCGGCCGATAGACAGAGTTTCAAACTTTTCTGGATTGTAAAGAATAAAGGCTATTTTTCACAAGATGCAAGCGTGTAGCTTTACGCTTGCAAAACGATACCTGCCCACCCACCCGGGGGAGAAGACACAACACAACCTAATCAATCATCGCTCACGTTGACATCCTCGTAATCCACAGCGATACGACGTGAACTGGTCGCACAACTCTCGTGCTCCTAGGGCGCCAAGGACATTTACGAAAGGATGACTACTTCACACTTTACTTCCCCTTCTCCCGCTCCCCTGCCCTCCCTCTCACCCGCCCTCTCGCGCCTTCGGTCCCAGATCCTGGACTATTGGACGGTCAACGGCCTCAATAAGTGGGTGGATGTGGGCATTCAGTGCGCAATGATTGCTATCTACCGCGGCCTGTTCTGGCTGGCACTCAGTATTAAGGAGTGGTTGCGGCAACGCTGAGCCTTGGTATGGTGGTTGATGACTAGCTCAGTGCGCCATAGGTGTGTGCGTGCCCAGCGCGTCAACTTTAGCGGTGCGCTTGTCGAACGCGTAAGCAACAGGTATTTGAGGAAGGAAACCCGCAGGGGCAGGGAACGAAGCGCGGCGCTATTTGATGTTCGCGTGTGTTCCCTGCATCGCCAGGAAATTGAATTTTAAGGGTTGCTGGGCGGAGGTGTACAAATTGAACCTCATGAATACCATCGGAAAAATGGGCGGACCGGATATCGCTCGGAGGTGAACTCTTTTTCCATCCGATTGGATTTTAACTGCATATGGATCTGTAGGCGTGCATGTGTGACTGGGGCCTGTACCGGTGGTGCTTGATGAACGTGCCGGTGTGGTGGCAAGAAGGTCTCGTCTATTGGTTATGTGTTTCGTGGATTGACTGATCTGTCCATGCAGGAGAAGGCGCAGGAACCAAGGGCTCGTGTTCGAGGGGTTACCGGGTTAACTTGCAAGCACGGCGGGGGCCAGATGGGAGGATGGGGGCAGGGCTGGCGTCGTCTGGGGAATTGACGGAAAAGTGAGAATGATAGCGAGAGGATAGGGTGTCACCAACCATATGTCAGTTGGTAAGTTAATTCGCAATTCGATACGATGCATTTGTTCAGAAAAGCTTCATAGCAGAACGGCCCGCGGCACAAAGATGCATATGCCGCTGGTCATATCTCACTTCGATCATGAGATCCGTGCTATCTCTATCCTATCTTGTACACCGCAGCAGCAGCTTACAAATAGTACGCCACATCCGATCTGCTTGCTGGGTGTGCTGTCGCTTGCCGCTGATGTGATTACATGTACTGTGTGCCGTGCAAACGTCTATGTTGTACGCATACCGTACACGCACGTACGATGTCAGATGTTGCCATGCGTTGACCGGCAACTGCTGGTTCACTGCATGTTAGTTTACCGTGCTGCAACTGCCTCCTGTCGCTAACATTTTGGTTAAAACGCCGTACTAGGTACCCACATACCTGATGTGGTACATGGACCTCCTTTCATGTATCAAAAGCCCTTGGCGATTGCATGGTCATGATCAGGTGTTTAGCTCTCTATCTGTGTGTCTGTCTGCTGTCATATGTGTCGAGCGGGTGGGCTTGGACTGGTGTTTGCTGCTGTCTGCAGACATCTGGGTTTCCGTATGTGCCTCATTCTAATTAGAATGACCGTTATAACTGTGTGTGTACGGATGACCAGGTACGGTGGAGGGGTAAGAAATGCACCGTCTTTGTTCAGGTATGGATCCAACAAGCGGACGTGTGTCCGGAGTTCGGCACCGCAGCCCTGTCTTCGTGGTTATGGTGATTACGCATGGACCTCGCTGTCGTGTTGGTCGGTATGCAGGCTGCGAGGAGGGAACGGTCGGCAACCCATAGCCATCTGTACATAACATCATTGTACTGCATAAGCGTGATGATTGGCTACTGAAATTATTAAAGCCTTCACTATCTATGCGACAACTAATCTACTGAAGAAGGGACGCTTGGCATCTTGTAAATCTGGTGGCCTGCGGATAACACACACCATTTTCTTAGTCATTGTATGCTGGACAGATCGCTGGCTCCCACCTCTCATCGGGTTAGACAAAGGCGCGGTACGAACTGGCCTTCTGGGATGTCATGCAAATGCGAATTGCGATGGGGGAAAAACCTAGCTAACGTACAACAGCATATAGATGGAGTAGTCCTACCTACATACCTACCTACCTTCCAAGGTCCCCAATATAATGTCGCAACGTAGGTCCCCTCTCAACACACAAGATACACCGCACGCACCATTCAGGTACAAACACATGAAGTAACCAACCCCCGTCCGCGCCCTTCGGGATTGGAGAGAGCCTCTACAATCGCCTGTCGCAAATCTTGGTGCGCCACAGACCCAAGCGGTGAGCGGACACGGTTCCGAGACCTCACAATCATTTTGCTGAAAACGTGGTGGTGTAGAAGTAGCCGTGACAGATCAGCGAACAGGAGGCGGTGCGCTGGTCTGGCAGCTCTCACGATTTGCCGCATGAATGATACCTGGCGCTGCACTCCCCCATCCTTCAGTCATGCCTCGAAGGGCAGGTTGTGACAATCTCGAGAGATAGGCAGCCTCGGAAAGGACTACGAAGACTACGTTTGCGGTCTGATTTGGTGATTCTTCCAGGCTCGACCATCGCAATTTGTATCACCCCGCTGAGAATATAGTGTGCAACCAGCTACGTAGATTGCAGGATACCGTGAAACACTATGTTGGAATGTTACCGACACTCATATGCCAGAGAATGGTAACAGCAGTAACAGGAGGGGGGTTTCCGGCGCATTGCTGGTCTTAACACACTACTTCAAGACTAGTACAAGAAGGTGAGCGGTCCGGTGCGAATACTATTGCTTTACTTAACACAAGGGTTTACTTAAGTGTATATATTCAATACTCCAGGAAATTAAAAAACTCTTTTCGCGTACAGGTTTGGGCACGAAAGCACCTAGCTATCTGACCGCCGTGCTTCCGCGCCGTAATACATTAAACTCAACTGTTGTTGTCATGATTAATCAGAGCGAATTATAAATATTGCAGCAAGCCAGTCAGGCCGCCGCTACCAATTGTGCCAACTCGCTTTCGCTTCGCGCTCGACCGTTCGCTCCGTCCAGCGGCTATCCAGCGGCCAGATAGCACTTTTACCTTGCCACGCATCCACAAAATGGAGGTATGAAATTAGTAAAAGAACCTGTGATTGTTTTATATTTGCTTAGCTGTAAAGTCCCGTCCGTCCTTATTCGCGCTCTCCTTCCTGGCATCGTCTTCCAACTGTGCTACCGTGTTCTGACTGGCACCTTCCGCCATTTGTTTCAATAGTTCAATGGGATAAGAAAAATCGCAGAAATATATACAAATACTAGTTTGAAAGGGCTTGGAGGCACGTTGTTGCTAAAGATATGTCTGTCCATCCTTTTGTGACCACGCACAAGGCCTACTGCACGCTTGTCCTTGCTTAAAAGGCAGAAGGCAGACTACACAGGCAGCAAAGCGGGCAAGCAGCCCCGTCACCCTCCAATTCCTCTTCTTCTGTTGCACCTGACCTACATGCACGAATTGTGCACAGACTAATATACTACATACCCTGCACACCTACCTTGGCGGCAACCGTACTTCCCTTCTGGCCCCCTTGCACCTACCGCCCTGTGTCGACCCTTCGCAACAGATGTACGAATGTTTGGAGGTGCTCGATGAGGGTAAGTACCCGACTAAGCACTCCTCCCGGCGGCCCATTTGCAGCTTGTGTGTCCGTCACCTCCTTGCACGTTCGTTTCTGGGTGTGTCGGCAACACGTCATGGTAATATTCTTATGGCTTTCCGCCATTAGTGGACCGAGGTTAGGCAGAAGACCTTACCGTACACCCTGCGTTGTCGAACCCGTGAACCCCCTACATAAATACATACGTTTTCACTTTGCTCAATGCTGCATGTGATTGTTCACCTTACCATTCACCAGGTGCCTATGCCTTCGTCTGGAAGTGCATGGAGAGGTCCACCGGGCGGCTCATCGCGGTGAAAGGCTTCAAGCAGGCGCATGAGATACCGGAGGTATGTATCAGAAAGAAAACATAAAAAGCCAGATTGCGTATCTATACAATGCCTACATCCGTCAGTGTACATACTGGTAGCTATGTCAATACCCATTCAGCCATGTGCAGCTATGTTGCAACATGTGCAACTTATTCAAGTTCCATCCCCGCCTAACAAACTGCTGCTATCCTTCTCATGACATACGAGCTACCTCCTGTCTTTCGCCCGTGCAGATTATGCGTCTTGCAGTACGGGAGGTGCAGGTCCTTCAGATGCTCAAACACCCTGCCATCATTCCGCTGATAGAGGCCTTCAAGTCCAAGTCGGGCCGGGTGTACATGGTAAGGAACGAGGGGGGCTAGGTGGGTCATCATGATGACAACAACCTGGAATGCTCGCTCGTTGGAATGTTTGCTCATTGGATTTATGAATGAAACGTACGTGTATGTGCCATAATGGTATGTTTTATGATGATGGCCGCTGGTTACCATACCATCCCTCCCTTAGCCAGTTAGCTAAGTGCATTCAAGTTGAACCCCCCATCTCTGATGGCTGCCTACCGGAGCCGGCGGTGAGTACCGAACGCGGCGATAACCCCCTCTTGCCTATAACCACCCGGCTGCGATGCTGCCAGAGCGGCCCACACGTGCCATGCACACCACCTCCATAACCGCACAGGGTGCATCCACCTACCACCCATACAATACGAACCCTCTATCTGAGTATATATTTGCCGCCACCCCCCCCGGCGCATGTACCCACCCACCAGGTCTTCCCTTTCGTGGAATCTAACGCGTATCAGTGGTTTCAGGAGTTTCCTGAGGGCATCCCCATGCCCTGGCTGAAGCTGGTGGTGTGGCAGCTGCTGCATGCCTTAGCCTACCTGCACCAGCGAAAGGTAGGTTTGGTTCCAACCGTTGATTAGTGGAACTTGGTGTGCTTGTGCCCCTCTGTATCTTCCGTGGATGCTGGTACCCGCGACGGCGGCAGCGATTAAAGATGGAGATGCGAATGGGGGATGAAGGCTTGTACGTGCTTGCTCTATGCATGTGCATACTTCGATCTCCACACATCGCCGGCCGATTGTGTATATACACACACAGTCATCGCTGATACAATTAAAATTTCCTATCAGAACAACGGTCAATAAGGATGGGATATGTGTGTTACGTCTTGAGTTGCGTTACCCTTCAAAAAAATACAAGCCCTGCTGAGGGACCCAATGGATGGCCGAGTGAGCAGTTAAATGCAGAAAATGCACGAGAAAAATGCATATACTCCATAAACTATCATGACAATCATCGAAATTGCGCTGCGGAAGCGACCGATTGACTACTTACGAGTACGCACCGTACGCGTGAACCAACAAACGACATATGAAGTACGAACCGACGGGGTATAGCTGCTGGGATTCGGTCCCAGATCGTAGTATGTACGGCAACTGTCGCAACCCAGAGAGCTTATTTACACCACAATTCTCACCTCGCCTGGTGTCATACCGTGGTACGATATATCCGTATTACTGTGTCCGTTTTAGGAACTAGTAGTCCAACTTGCGGCGTACCGAAAGACTACGCGACTCGTATTTTTATGCCACGGCATATGCATGTCAGTAAGAAGAAACAACGTTTGCTCGGTGTTGCTCAGAGTTGCCATCGTGTCGCGACCTGTGCAGTACGATACAGGCCACAGCAGCGCGCGTGTTACACCTGCACTCCGTCCCCGCGTCCCGCCCCGGGTTGTTCCGCACGCCAACACACGCAGGTCGTCCACCGCGACATCAAGCCGGGCAACATCCTGCTGTCGGAGGGCGGCGGGGTCAAGTTGTGTGACTTTGGCTTCGCTCGTACCACCCACTGCGGCCCCCGGGACGCGGAGGACTTGACCAGCTATGTGGTCACTCGCTGGTACCGGGCACCGGGTAGGTGTGTGTGAGAGGAGGGAGGAAGAGGTGCGGGCATGTGGGGAGGTTTAGAGGAAGGAGGGAAAGAAGGACGCAACAGCGAGGGAGGTTGAGGCCAGCAGGGGAAAATTGAGGGGGGCCGGGCCGCACTGGTGTCGGGTGAGCCGCGTGCGCGACGGGTCCTTTACAGGCATGACTGGGAGTGGGGCTGTTGGGGTAAGAGTGGTGAGGCACACAGAAGGGGGGGAGGATGCATGCCACGGGGGTTTAGGGTTTCCAAGCCACCAACTTCCCTCTTGCATCTTCCTAACTTCCAACTTGCAGTTGAAAAGGCCTTTTGAGATGCTGTGTATTGAAACATTTCGAATATGTTGCAGTTGCACTGCCTTGATCTGCAACAACCACCGCTGTTTCCCTTCCTCCGCTGCTGACCTCGTCCCTGCATACTCCAGAGGTGCTTGTGGGCGACCGCTACGGCCCCGCCTGCGATATCTGGTCACTGGGCTGCACGGTGGCAGAGCTGGCTACGGCAAGGCCATTGTTCCAGGGTGCGTCGTTGTGCATCTGAATGCTTCTGGCTTTGGTTTTTACAATCTTAAGGATTGGGGACGGGGTGCATTGCTCTGGGGCTTCCATGCATATGAAAGCACTTGCGTGGCGAAAGGACGAACGCATTTCATCAATGAGAGAATTGTCGGTGCACACTACTGCCGCCGTGGATGGGAAAGATAGACACGGGGTTACTAAACGGAAATGGTTACTATTAAAGAGGGTTGCTATTAAAGAGCACATGTAGTAGCTGTTGTACGTACGGCACACGCCATCATATACAAATACGCGCTAATAAAGTCCATTCCGGGCATCTCAAGTGGGCCGCCAGCTATTACAGTAGCTTATTACTACGTACATGTGTCGGGTTATATCGGCGCGTCATGGGAAATAGCTGCAATGCATGGATGCACATATTACGTACATACGAAGTTCATCCCCTTCTATCCATCACGCATACGCAGGCAACTCCTCAGCAGAGCAGCTGTGGCGCATCATGCGATGCTTCGGGCCCCTGACAGCCTCCCAGGCATCCTGTATGTCCTCCAACCCCCTATACACAAGAGTGCGCGTCACAACACGAGGCCGCACCCTCCGCGAGCGCTTGTTGGGCTGCGACCCGGACCTGTTCTGCCTGGTAGAGTCATGTCTGCAGCTGGACCCCAGCGACAGACCCACCGCCAGAGAGCTGCTGCAGTCACCGTACTTCTCGGACATCCCCCAGCTGCTGGCGGGAACGCCCCTGGAGCAGGTCTACAGCGGCTTGATGCAGCAGCAGGAGGAGCGCCGGCAGCGACAGCATGGGCGGCAGTTGCAGCAGCTGCGGCAACGGCAACGGCCGCAGTGGGAGGAGGAGCAGGTGCAGCAACATCGCGCTATGCTGGTGAAGACTTATCCTGCTGCTGCTGCTACTGCTGGAGCAGGCATCAAGGCCTGTAGGTCGCCACCACCCCGCGGAAAAAAGGGGGTCCCAAACACCAGAGGAATGCAGGGGTCCTTCCAGGAGGCGCAGGATTCGGAGGAGGCTGAGGAGGAGACCGGCTTGAAGGAAGAGACGCGCGGCAGAAGCGGCTGGCAGGAGAGGTATCGTGCGGAGGATGATGAGATGGACACCGATGACGAGGAGCAGCAGCCGAAGGAAGACGATAGGAAGAGAAAGGAGGAGCGGCGGCAACCGGATAAGGAGGGGGAAGGCGTCAGCAGCAGCAGCAGCAGCTCTCTGCTATCGGTGCCATCGCCGTCAGCGGGACACTCAAACAGAGAGGGTAGCACGCAGCAATGTCAACAGCTACGGCAGCAACACCATTGCCGCCTTCTGGAGCAGCAGCAGCGGCCGCTGCCACAGGAAACACGACAGGGTGACAGCGGAAAGAAGGATGCTCTGCAAGGGTGGAACTCATCACAAGTGCCGAGCACAAAACAGCAGGAGCAGGAGGGACAGCAGCTGCAACAACAGGACACGGTAACAACATTGGGTGGTCGCACCGTGCTCCGGCTTTTGCGCCTTGTGGATTCATTTGCGCACTACCGTGCTGAATTACTACACCAGCAGAAAAGCTCGGCTGATGAGGTCGCACCCGCGGCTGCTGCTACGGTACCTTGTATGCTGCAACAGCAATCGCCAACAACAGAACTGCCACTGCCACCGCCACCGCTGCCGCCACCACCGCTGCTTCCACCACGTCCATATCCATGGCGCTGGCAAAGCAGCAACAGCTGTAACACAAGATCTACTGCAGCTGCCGCGGAACCGTTAGCGGCCAACACCTGCTGTATGACTCCTGCTGGCGTTTCCTCTGGTGCCTCCTCGACAACACCTGTTGTCGTCACAACTGTTGATGAGCGGAACGGCCAACTATTGTCATCCTGGCATACTACCACTGTTACAGCGGACAGTACACCGATTACCGTTATCGCAGCAACGGCCAGATGCAGCAGTACGCAATACATGGAGCACGTAAACCTAGGCCACATGGCGCAGACCAACCAAAGGAACCAGCACATGAACCAGCAGAATCAGTGCGTGATGAGGCAACAGGATGGAGACTACCGTAGTGACAGCACACCGGGGCCCCTCATGTTGTCAGGCGCCATGGGGGGCAATGGTGCTGCGGAATGTTCCTCACCATCAGCAAGCATGCTGCTACAGGTCCCAGACGATAACGACAGCAGCGACAGCAGCAGCAATAACGATGAGAGCAGCAGCACCAAGGAAGTAATGACAATCCCAGCTGCGGGGACCATCACGGCTGCTGCTGTGATGAAGTCAGCAGTATCCCAACGCTCTGGTACTGTTCTTGCTGCTGCTGCTGCTGTTGCTGCTGCGCCTGCAGTAGCTGCAAGAGAAACTGCAGCCAACCCAAGGGCTTTTAACTCAAACACTGCCCATGCGACTGCTATTACTGCTGCTACATGTGTTAGTAGTACAGCTGCAGCTAAACCTCCTGGGGTTCAAGTAGCAAATAATGATGAGGCTGCCGCCAACATATCAGCCATAAACACCGTACAGCAGCAGCAGCAGCAGCAGCAGCAGCAGCAGCATGACCCTGTCACGAAAACCCCCGACGATTTTTTGTGTTGTGGATCAAACAGCAGCGTGATCAGCAGTAATCCGCCGTTGTCGAACAGGTGCCAAGGTTCATCTTTCCGCAGGAGCACTAGTCGGACCGAGGGACAAGCCCATGGGCAGCCACAAACCATGCTAGATTATCAACAAAGGCAGCAGCAGGGTGGATCGGCCATCACGCTGTTAACGAACGCAGCAACCGACACACAAGCTTTGTCAGGAGCTTCAGCAGCAGCAGCAGCCCGGTCCTGCAGAAGGCATAGCCTGCATCCACCAAATGATGTGTTTATCCTTCCTGAGACTGCCATTACACAACTTCATCGTTTGCAGCGACTCCCGCATCAGCAATCCATGCCACAGCCGTCTGTACTAGAAGCAACGGCAGCAGCAGTATCATCGTCAGCCGCCCCATTTGCATGGTCCCCGAGGTCAGTGGCTTACCCCACAGGAAGCAGTCGCTACCAGCTACGAGCTGGAGGGTCAATCCGGGGTGCCTCTACTGCTAATCCTGCGACTGCTGCTGCTTCTGGGCGCCTTGTGCCAGCAGGCAGCAGCAGGGAAAGCTCAATTATTCGTACTGCTGCTTCATTGGGAGCAGCTGCCACAATAACAGGGGTTTCTTCAAGTTCCACTGCTTCTGGCAATACTTCTTCTGTATCAACCCTCCTGGTGTCTAGGGTAAATAGTATAAACTTCGGCGGGACGCGGCCACAAGCAGCAGCAGCAGCAGCCACCTCGGTGATGGCGTCTGCCATGCCGATCAATCCGAGCAGCAGAAGCCCACAGGTGGTGATGGTGGGGCGCAGCGCTAGTTGCACCAACAGTGGAATGGTCATGCAAGCCTGGGCCGCGTTACCTGACCCCACGGTAGTGGCACCCGAAAGAGTACCATCTGTCCTGACAGGTCCGGACTCTGGACCTTCCTTGGCTGATAACAAGGCGAGTAAACGTACAGCAGTGGCTTGCGCTAATGATTTTAGAGACCCCTCAGCACTATGGGCATATAACAAAGGGCGTAGTAGCGCACAGCTGCAGCCCAGTTTGCATGCAGGTGCCGCTGCCGCTGTCACCACTGCTTCCGCTGCTGAAGATGAAGGCAATGGCAGCAATGGCGCGGGATCCAGGGGCCGTGCATGGAAGCATATGAACACCAAGCAGATGGTTGTGACGGTGTCTGGGGCGGCAGCTTACGGCAGCAGCACTTTTTGTAGTTGCAGTAATAATGATAATGATAATAATAATGTGGATGGATTACTGGAGCTGCCAGAAAGGGAACTGAAGGCCGCCATCACCGCGACGAATGCTGCTGGGGAACCGCCAGTAACAGTGAAGAAGGGCATGGTGAAAAAACTGTTCAGAGCCATTAAAAAAGCATTTTCCATCTCGAGGGCCTGACAAATGCACATGTGTGAATGCAGTTTGCATATGGTATGTGTATGCATAGATAATAGATGGCTGGATGCATGGATGGGGTGAACCTGCGTGCTAAGCACGTGCAAGATACCCTATCTATCTTTTCGGCTTTTGCAGCAGCTTAGATACATGCAGGTCGTGTTGTGGCACACTTGCATATTAACCCTCGGATCTTTCCCCAATTCTCTGGCACTTTGCCGCTGGGCAATATCTTCGCTCTTACTTGGTTAACCATTGGGCACTTGCCTATCTCTAATTGGGCGCTGGCCCATCTTTAAGCAGGCACTTGCCTGTCTTTATCACGCGTGATACTGGATTATGGCGCTCTTGCTATAATCGTGACACTTATCACTGGTAGACCCACTTGGGTTACGATTGCACCGATTGGTGATAATTCGCGTTGACGACTATATCTTCGGACCGTACAGACTTCTGTACGGGTCGTCCTAACGCAGAGGCATTTAGCCTCTTCTCATTCACTAATCGGTAGTTTTCACTACCACCTAAACAGTGGAAGTGGATACAACAGGTCGCTAGCTGTTGCTGAGCTTGCTAGCTGACTATGTAGCTACTGCTGGTCAGCAGTACCAATAATCCCCACTAAAACGCCTATCATGTATTTGATGTAAACAAGCAGTTGTGTGGGGGTTATTACCTAGGCGTCAGAGGAATGTCATCTCTCTGCTGGCCCGTAGTCAATTTGCACTGTTGGGCTGTGGCCCACACCTTGCTGGGTGCTGGGTGCGGTATTTTTTTGCGGGCATTTTTTGCGAGCATTTTTTTCGCATACGGAATGCTGCTGGGCACCTGTCTTCTAGTACACGTGAAGCCTGAAGATGTAGTGCTGGCTGCTGCAGGCTGCTGTGATAACAGTAGTAGTAATAATAATAATAACATGCTTACTCCACCAAAAGTAGGGAATGAAGGGAGAGAAAGTGATAACAATGAAGAAACCCCGGTGGCGCCCGGCGGGGTGCAAGTGCGTGCACTATGCAGCCATAGCCTTAGGACTGCCTATCGGACGTGCGCTAACACCCTAGCTGACCCACGGGGCAGTCACCTGGTTTTTATGGCAGCACCTAGCAAGCGAAGACGCCTGACGCTTCTCGCTCCAAACCGGACTGTTTTGCCTCTGCATTTCAACCAGGTGCTCATGCGTTTCAGCTGGATTGTCAGGAACTCGAAATAAATTAACAGGCCTAATGGCCGCGAACGCGCCGCTGTACCTGCAGGCTTTGTAAATGCAGAGCGGTTGCGGGTGAGCTGCATGATCTGAAGGGTATTACGGGATAAGGGTATTCGGACCTTGGCTTCCAAGGGGCGGGATGTGTATTTTTATGGCCGATGTGCACTAGTCCCATTTGTTTGGAAATTCGTAACCTTATTTTTTGGGCGATTAAGTTACCGCCGCCGCCGCTTCCATGATAGAGTAACATTACAATCAGAGGATCTGTGTTATACCACAACTACAGAAAAGTATCGATCGGCGGATGCAAATTCCGTGATACGGCCAGAATTCATCAATCTGTGGTCCTATGCATCAGCGCACGCAATCAAAACACGCATATACGTACGCATACTCGTACAGCCATCTATGCACTGTCGAGAACAGGCTTCATCAACAGCTAACATTGCCGCACAGCTTCAGCAGCAGCTAGCATGGTGCCATATACTAATATTGATGAGGTACTGACTCACTCATTTGGAATATGCCCGCGCCCAGCTAGCCACCT